TTGTTCCTTGACTAGATCGGTGAAACACCTGCATTCATTCATATATATATGTATATTTTGAAGTCGAAGGCGTTCTTTGAGAAATAGGATTTATTGCGTGGATTTTCGAGGCTGGGGCCCCAGCTCGTCTTCAGACGCAGCGTTAAGTAAAAGTGCCAGAAACAGCTAACATAGAGAGTGTATGAGAGCAAGCGCCACGCCACGCCACGCCACACCACACCATTATCGATTTTTCCATAAACTCTCGATATTAGCTGTTTTTGGCACTTTTACTTCACTCTGCGTTTCAGGACAAGTTGGGGCTCCAGTCTCGAAAATTCACACAATAAATAATATTGCCCAAGGAACGTCTTCGACTTATATTTCTTGAGACGTATATACATAGCTGGCAAAGATGTCACACCGTACTCCCGCATAGGTACTAGCTAAAAGCCCAGACACGTGTTTCGCCGATGCTTCTGCTGCTGCTGCGTGATACAGCAACAAGGGGTTCGGCTCCTCAGTGGGGCTCCCAACGTCCCCTATACAGTTTCTGGTATACGACCCTCCAAGTCATGCACTTAATAATTCACAGCATTATTTACCCGATATATATGTGCAGAATTATATTACTGACAAAGACAAGGGAGACAGGAATGGCTACTTCTGGCTTATCAGCTATCATCAGCCAGCCATACCCAGCCCCAGTGGTGGCGATCCCCAAGGTTCGAACCCGTGACTTTGTTAGTTAGAAGTCCAACGTTCTAACCAGCATACCACGGACTCGCTGCCTTGCCGGCACTTACGCTTGTACTAAATCTAATGGACTGGCACCTGTAGCCATTCTGTGAACGGAGGAAACAGAGCATTTGGGCAGCAGTTTTAGAGTTAAAACGTTGCCGGACTAAACCTACCTTCTTCGGGTCACGTGAGCTGCGGAGGGCCTTCAGTTTGGCAATCTGTGATTCACGGACCTTGGTGTTATCGACAACCAAAACATCCACACGTTGTTCTTTTTCCAGGCGATACTTGTTCACTCCCACGATGACCTCTGAAAGCGTAGATAGAAAAATACTCTCAGAGAGTGCCGCAAAAAAGCTTATCTGAAGCATACATATAAAGGCTAGGGGGAACTATGCTGGGTAGAACCTATGCAAAGCAGTAACATACCATCACCGGAGTCAATAGCTGCCTGTCGCTTTGCTGAGCATTCTTCAATGCGGAGTTTCGGGATGCCGGCTTCGAGAGCCTTGGTCATACCACCCATTGACTCGACCTTTTTAAAGATAAAATGAATGAATAGAGGAAGATTCCTTGAAAGTTTAGAGTTTGGTGCCTATAGTACACCCGACAACCAATTAAAAACGACGGCAACCGAACACAGAGGGTTTAGTAGGGCATAATTAAATTGCCTAGTGACGAGCATGCATTAAAAAAACGTGGAATAGTATACGTAATTGTCAAAGTGTGAGGATCCAAGCGACTACTGAAAAATAAGGTGTGATGCAAATGTAATTTAGAAGATAATATGAAAATAGAAAAAAAGGGAGGAGAAGAATATGGCGGCGATATGATCGCCAATATTGATGAGGGGGCGAGACACTGGGAGGACGGATGATACCAACGTGAAGAGCTATCTCAAAAGCTTTGTGTATTATTTTACCCAAACGTCTGCAAGATATCTACTGGCTCGAACAACGGCAGCCTAGATCAGTCGTAACATCACAAAATAATCATCTATTCGTAGGGAGAATAAAGAAAGGCTCCCAAAAACTGACCTCTTCAATCTCCTTGAGGGCTGCGTTGTAAATCTGTTCAGTGAGAGTCTCCATCATGTAGGAGCCGGCCCATGGGTCAGCAACACGGGTGATGTGAGTTTCCTCTTGAATAATAATTTGGGTGTTTCGCGCAATACGTGCAGAAAACTTGGTGGGAAGACCGAGGGCCTCATCGAAGGAGTTGGTGTGCAGGGACTGGGTGCCACCAAACACTGCTGCCATGGCTTCGATGGTTGTTCGAATGATATTGTTGTATGGATCCTAGGAGGGGGGAGTGTAACACGAATGATAAAGCGAAAACACATGCTGAAGAGTTTCTGATAAGTTCGAAAATGTGTCGTCGCACAATGTCTTTATAACCAAATAGCCAAGACAGTCATTAAGTATGTATGCACACGGTGGCAATCCATTAATGCGGACTGAAATCAAACTGCGTTAAGTGGAAAGGAGAAACCTTACTAGCGTCCTCTAATATGACTGCAAAATATCACGACTGTAGCAAATAAAACCAGCTATTAGAATCCATTAGCTCAGCATAAATAGGTAACTACTTCGTTGCTTGACGGGAAACAAAGTCAGACTGTCACTGGATTTGGTAACTGTATTTCATCTGTTTTGGTAAATTTTAGACGTTCGCAAAAAAACGGCTTGCCTTCTGATAGTAACATTTTTGTGTAGCTGCAAAACGAACGTGACGAGCTTCGAATGGAACCATAAACGATGACGGTGGCTTAAACAGACACCACTGGGAATAAAGAATTAACATCCTCACAGACCATATGTACTAGTAATGTATTTTGCTAGTGTAAGAAATAGGAAATATGTAGTAACGTACCTGTTCTGTGAGAGACCAACCGGAGGTCTGACTGTGTGTTCGCAGGAGAAGGGACTTTTCGTTCTTTGCATTGAACTTCTCCTTGATGAGTTTCGCCCACAGACGTCGGGCGGCCCGCATTTTGGCAATTTCCTGTGCGTAAAATCGTTTTTAGGTGCAGTCAGAATTCAACATACGTAATAGAAAACTAAAAGAGGTGACGGAAACTCACCATATAGAAGTTCATTCCAATGCCCCAGAAGAAGGAGAGACGAGGAGCAAACTTATCGATGTTGAGTCCAGCGTGCTCAACGCCCAGTCTACAATAATCAATACCGTCAGCGATGGTGTATGCCATTTCAAGGACGTTGTTAGCGCCAGCTTCTTGCATGTGGTAGCCAGAGATTGAAATGGAGTTGAATTTGGGCATATTCTGGAAACGAAAAATCAGGAAAATGTTCAAGCAGAATGAAGAATTACGAGTTAGGTGCATTGCGGCAAAACCTTATCAGTCTACCAGGCTAAATTATTATTCTCCCAGTCTTTCTAACCAAAATGTTAAAAAGTAATTCGTTTTCCTCATCAGCCTTATCTCAAAGCTACATTTTCAGATTCATTTTTCAGTTTGTTTATTTACGACATAAGGATTTCATAAGCAATCAAGGAAGCCATGTAATTTAAGAATTCGTTACCTATAGCGATTGATCTAAAGGATGATATTTAGAAGGTTTTGACGGTATGAAAGTGGGCCTGTCTAAAAATATGGCATAGTCTTGGACTTAGAACTTTTTTACCTAAAATAAAAGTCAGGCTTGACTATGCATAGACAGTATTGAACGAATATTTGACTTACGGCTGCTGTGTAGGCGAAAATGTCAGCGATGATGCGCATTGATGGAGTGGGAGGGAAGATGTAGGTATTTCGAACCATGAATTCTTTGAGAATATCGTTTTGGATCGTACCAGCCAATTCCTTTTGACTAGCACCCTTCAAAATAAAAGTCATTGATTAAGTCTGACGAAAAAACGTTGGCATCAGTTGAAATAGAATATTTGATTTCACATAGAATTTTGAGGTATAGTTCTGACTTCGTTTGGATACCCCAGTGTATGCTAGGTTACTGTATATGCACCTAGGAAAAACTGCTAATCTGCATCGATGGTGACCAAATGTTTATTTAGTTGTTCATCTAGACTTACGTTCGCGAAAATTAAGTCTTCATAAGATCAAAATCTAACCTGTTCTTCAGCAGCTACGATAAACATAGCAAGGACCGGCAGGACAGCACCGTTCATTGTCATTGAAGTACTGATGTTCTTTAATTCGATACCCTCGAAGAGACGCTTCATATCCTCAACCGAGTCAATCGCAACGCCAGCCATACCTACATCACCGAACACGCGAGGATTGTCTGAGTCATAACCTGGGAAAAAGAGAGAAGAGAGAAAGAGAAGAAGCATTATCAGCAAAGATCGCGAAACTATAACTCATTTGTCGGATTATTTGAAAAAAGCAAAGGGGCTGGTAGGAAAAGAAATAGGAGAAGAATACAAGTGTCCAAAATAAGACATGCCTCAAAAATTCAAGCAATTACCTGATTATATGTATTCATATGACAAAAAGGCTGTTTTGAGTAGCGTGGGGTGTGAAAAGCACGATCAGTGTGTTGTTTTTATCAAAGGAAATTTCTTACAATTTATTTTTAAAATTGTGTCCCATTATAAATATAGCATGGCAACTTATCATAACACCAGTCTTAACAGGAAGCAAACTTTTGACAGCAAATTCAAATCTTTAAGGAAAGGAAATTACCGCGATGTGTGGCCAAATCGAATGCAACGCTCAAGCCTTGGACACCTGCCTTAATATTGTCCTTGTAGAATTTGTTACTCTCTTCAACGGTCGAGAAACCGGCATACTAAAAACTTAAGACAAAAGAACTATCATTACCTGTCGAATAGTCCATGGTCGTTGAGTGTACATCGTTGGGTAAGGACCACGAGTGAACGGAAATTTGCCAGGCAATTCACCTTTAAGGTTGGCCGTGTCGGACACGGTGTACACGGGTTTGTATGGAATTCCCTATAAATATTTATAAGAAAGACGTTTGATCTAACTTCGTAAGTCGGGAAAATGAGTTTGTGGGGATCTTTTCCCTTTAACTGTTTTGTAGCCATCTTTTCCCACTCTGGATCCAGATCCGTGGATGCATTACGTGCATTTTTAATAAGAGGGTTCAAAAATGCAGTTCCTTTAAGTTTATTGAGGACAACTTGTGATTTAGCAGCTCTCAGTCCCAACATTATTTGAAGAACTTCGGAACCGAATAGCAGAACGTCTTTCCGCGTACAACGCTGAAAAAGTGACCCAAAACACCTTACTGCAACCAATCAACGGCACCCGAGGTCAGCACTGAATTATTTAATTTAAATAAACCAAAATTAATTGCTTTTTGTATCCTTTCGTCTGCTTTGGCGAAATAAACAGTCCAATATTCAGCACTGCAGCGCTCTATTCCTCGCAGACTATTTTCACCCCATCCTTAGTTCAAATGTTCAGTTTGGTTCAGTCATTTGAAAGGCTAGGCGCTATCTCTGAACTGCATATATATTATGCATTAAGTGGCGTCGTACTCAGAGAACGTGAGTGCAATGGAAAAGAGCTGTAGGAAGAATTATGATATTTATATAAACTTCAGGGG